AAGAACCATCACCTGCAGGTGTCAGGCAAACGCAGCTTGGGGCCCAATCCCTCACTGCGGAGGAAACTTTGTGTTTAAGTACCCAGAGTTATTGCCCGTGTGAAGGTGCGACGCGGGGTGAAAGAGGTGGTGGTTGCTAATAATGGTGGTAGTGACTAGTAATAATGGTGTTATTGGTGTTAGTGATGGTGGTGATGGGTGCAATTTACCCCCTGGTGATAATTTCAGGGATCATCTAGGAACACTGAGCTCCGTGGTCCAGGTAACTTTACACCAGGTACCTGGTTAATGGTTTGATCATTTAGACTATTAGTGCTTGCAGCACACAACCAGGACACAGGTACTACAGGATGGCTGATCATGAAGTTGGAGGTTCTTGTCAGATTCCCTCTTCGTAACACGGCTATCTAGTTTTTCCATATATTTGAAGAGAAGCTTTGTGACGCTGTGGGTCCTTCATGGTATTTATGTGATAGTGGCGGTGATACTCTTATGACCGGTTTCACCATTTTTTTTTTAACCTCACAACTCAACCTGGGGCCAGAATTCTCTGGTGATTATCTGTTCAACAAGGCTGATGCTGTTGATGGCCCTCTGGCTCATATATCCATTATAGTGTGTTTGATCTAGCACCTGACAGACGTAATGATCGTGTTTCCTAACTTCTACTTATCTATCCGGCCATGCTTCGTATATCAGCTGTCTGCAGGTTAAACAGTGTTTGACCACCAATACGCACACACTGTTCCCTCACTGTGACTACAGTGCCCCTGCCTTCCATACAACCTATTTTACACTTCTAGCTTTGATATATATCTTTCATGAGTTTCAAAAGTCTTACTACTCTCGGAGCCCGGCCATGGGCCAGGCTCGTCTGGTGCTAGCCTGGTCAACCTGGCTTTCGTTGTTGGAGGCCTGCTGCCCCACATATCCATCACAGCCTGGTTGATCTGGCACCAGGTGAAGATACCGTTCCAGATTCGAGCCTGTAAATACTCAATGAGCTGAATAACCGAATTAATAATAATAATAATAATAATAATAATAATAATAATAATAATAATAATAATCACCTACATGGTGAAACAGAAGCCTCATACTGACATATTTATATACTTTTACGCGTATTTAGCTTCGTGTTAACGGAAAGGTTTAGTTAACTATATTAAAATCGTCAGGTTTGTGTATTTAGTGATATTTATTTTTTTTAATATAAGAGTAGACCGGCTGTATGTGCAAACAAGCTGTTGTGCTTGCAAACTGTTTGTGCATGTTTTAGTACTGATGACGAATATGACACTCCAGAATGTTTACATAATAAATTAAGATGCTTACCACGTCTGTGGCATTCCTGTTCCTCATCTGTCTCAGTTTCAAGAGGATAATCTATTTATGAAGTGTGTTTGTGTGTGTGTGTGTATATATATATATATATAATATATATATATATATATATATATATATATATATATATATATATATATATATATATATATATATATATATATATTAGGTAGAAGATAACATACGACTCACAACAGTTGGTTAACGTATAAGTATCTATTTTTAATACTAGGTGGGCAGGAGCAGCTGGGGTGTAGAGAAACCGGCCCCTATTCTTTCTCGCTGCCAAGGATTCGAAACCGGGACCTTGCGGTAAAGAAGCGAATCCCTCACCAATAAACTATCCGGCACGCTTTGAGAAAGAAAATGAGGAGGGGAAAAAGGATGGCGCGAGGGAAAAAGGAAAAAGGGGAAAGTGAAAGTGAGGGGTGAAAGGAAGGTGAAGGGGAAAAAGAATGTGAAGGGAAAAATGAAGGTAGAAAGCATTCTACCTAGAATGTGTTTCGAGGGTCAACGCCTCCGGTGGATGACCTGATCGACCAGGCTGTTAGTACTAGCCGTACGACGTCCAACGCCTGTACCACATCCCGGCTGATCATAAATTAACTTGAACTTATCCAGTTCTATTTTTAAGAGACAGGTGGGAGGAAGGAGAGCAGGAGAGAGACGGGGGGGGGGGGAAAGGGGCAGGGAAGACGGGTCAAACAAGGGCTTACAGTTAACAGACTGCGAAGAAGTATGGCTCAGTTCACGTCATGTCAAACACTGTAGAGGTGTTGTGGCTACAGCGGCGGCCTATGTGACCTCTCATCAATATAAACACGGGTGTGGTGGCCACCTGACTACCACCGTGAAGGTAGTGTAGCCACCCACCCACTACCCTGAGCTCCATAGAACTGGCAGCACTTATATGTAGGAGATTTTAGGGCTGAATAAATGGTCCTGGAGGTTATTCCGGGGATCAACGCCCCCGCGGCCCGGTCCATGACCAGGCCTCCAGATGGATCAGGGCCTGATCAACTAGGCTGTTACTGCTGGCCGCACGCAGTCCAACGTACGAGCCACAGCCTGGCTGATCCGGCACTGACTTTAGGTATCTGTCCAGCTCTCTCTTGAAGGCAGCCAGGGGTTTATTGGCAATTCCCCTAATGCTTGATGGGAGGCTGTTGAACAGTCTTGGGCCCCGGACACCTTTGGGTGAACCATGGACTCATCCTGGCATTTTCATTAATCCTGTTACCCTTGGGTACAAACCTCTCCTCAGCTTCCTTGCATATTGTTGTTACATATTCCATCATCTCATTTACTGGCTTCCCTGCCAGTTCTCTGTCCCACTGAACCCCGTTCAGGAATTCCTCTTCCCGCGTAGTCCCCTTTCTTGTAGTTTGGCCTCATACGCCCTGGCCTTCCTGCTTTCCCCTCCACTTGTAACTCTACTGTGTATTCGAAGCTTTAAAACCTTATGATCGCTGGGCCCCAAGGGGTCTATCATATGTGATGTCCTCAATATCTGCGTTACTCAGGTGAATACTAGGTCCAGTCTCTCTGGTTCATCCTCTTCTCCCTCTCTGGTAGTGTCCCTTACGTGTTTTGGGACATGAAAATTTTCCAGTACCACCTCCATCATCATAGCCTCCATGTATCTTGGCCCCCATGTGGCTCCAAATTCTCCCAAACGATTCCTTGTGGTTAAAATCACCAAAAATCAGTAGTGTGTGTTGTGTGTATGTGATGTGTATGGTTGTGTGTGTGTGTTTGGGGTGGGGTGTGTGTGTGTGTGTGGTGTGTGTGTGTGGGGTACTCACCTATTTGTGGTTGCAGGGGTCGATTCATAGCTCCTGGCCCCGCCCTCTTCGCTGATTACTACTAGGTCCTCTCTCTCCCTGCCCCATGAGCTTTATCATACCTCCCTTAAAACTATGTATGGTTCCCGCCTCCACTACGTCACTTTCTAGACTATTCCAAAGGCCTGACTACTCTATGACTGAAGAAATACTTCCTAACATCCCTTTGATTCATCTGAGTCTTCAACTTCCATTTGTGACCTCTTGTGTCTGTGTCCCATCTCTGGAACATCCCGTCTTTGTCCACTTTGTCTATTCCGCGCAGTATTTTATATGTCGTTATCATGTCTCCCCTGACCCTCCTGTCCTCCAGTGTCGTCAGGCCGATTTCCCTCAACCTTTCTTCGTAGGACAATCCCCTTAGCTCTGGGACTAGTCTTGTTGCAAACCTTTGCACTTTCTCTAATTTCTTGACGTGCTTGACTAGGTATGTGTGTGTGCGCGCGTGAGCGCAGCTTTTATGGAGGAATAACCTCCAGGTAACCTCCAGGTAATAACGTACCACTTGTAATTTCAAGGGCTCGTCGCCCCCGTCGGCCAGGTGGTGACGCTTAGTCACTACTTGCTAGTCGTCGCTGTACCGAGCCCGCGTAGTAGGAACCACAACCCAGCTAATCAAGAACATATTTTAGAAACCCATTAATTTCTTCAAGCCAGGGATCTCTTTGTTTCAGACAGGTTTGGATCCTTCATTGTCGATTTATCTCGCAGTATGCCTACTGCAACCTTGTTTTTCATTAAGTGTATCAGTTCATAGACTTTAAATCAAACTGACTACACCTGGCCCATGGCCGAGCTCCAAGAATACTGAAACTCTCGAACTCTTCAAAGGTATACCTTAGCAAATGGTAGTTACCGATATAGGCGCTACTGGTACAGGTGGTATCAGTAATGCTTATGATGGTACAGTACTAGTAACAATTCTGTTGGCACCGGCACTGACGGTACTAAAGTCCAGGTTTGATCGCCGGCCTATTCGGCAAACTGTTATCCATACTGGTTAAAGAATAGAAGGAAGACGACTCCATTGTCAACACAAGGAAGATTAGCCAGCCACGGCAAGAAAAGTAACTTGATCCGACAAACATGAGAACTAACCCACAAGTTACCTCACCCACCACACGTCAGGAGTAACCCACTACACACAACACGTCAGGACTAACCCGCTACACACAACACGTAAGGACTATCGGACTACACGTCAGGACTAACCCATTACACACAAGTTACCTGACCCACCACACACACACAAGACCTAACCAACTACACACAAGATGACCTGACCCTCCACACACACATGACTGGACCCAACACACAAATGACCTGGCCCATCATACACATTGTCCCGTTGGGTTCGGTAACGTGGATTGGGTAAAGGACACTCACATAGGCAGTAATGGAGTATAATTAAAACGGAATATATGGGAAGTACCTAACCTGACCTGCCTCTCTGCTCTCTATCCTTACGACTGCCTCACGAGATGGTTCCTAGGGGTGACCGGCGTTTAAAACATGGTAAGGTCAGCTGTAACAGTGAATAACAAGTGATTCACACAGACGGTTGGTAGTGAGTCACTAGTGACACTGGTGACTGGTTACTGGTATGGTACTACTGAGAACATGACCTAACCTATCACGCACACAACCTGACCCAACACACACATGACCTGATCCTACACACAAATGTCCTGACCCTCCACACACACACACACACACACACACACACACACACACACACACACACACACACAAATGACCTGACCCAACGCACACATGACCTGACCTACGAATGCATGAAAAATGAAGACTTACCTGTCTCGGTAATTTCTATGACCTTGGGAGACGTTCTGGCGAACGCGATGAACCCGCCGCCCACTGTGGAAAGACAACAACACTGTTAGTAAACGGCAAAGGTGTTATAACAATGATAAACGTGGTATTATAAAGTTGCTATGATAATATGGACAAAAGGTGCTATGATAACAGCCACAGGTGCTACAAGCATGAAGGTACTATGATAACAGCGAAAGGTGCTATAACAAGGAGAAAGGTTACCTCTAGGTTATTCCGGGGATCAACGCCCCCGCGGCCCGGTCCATGACCAGGCCTCCCGGTGGATCAGGGCCTGATCAACCAGGCTGTTACTGCTGGCCGCACACAGTCCAACGTACGAGCCACAGCCCGGCTGATCCGGCACTGACTTTAGGTATCTGTCCAGCTCTCTCTTGAAGGCAGCCAGGGGTTTATTGGCAATTCCCCTAATGCTTGATGGGAGGCTGCTGAACAGTCTTGGGCCCCGGACACTTATGGTGTTTTCTCGTAGTGTACCAATGGCGCCCCTACTTTTAATTGGGGGTATTTTGCATCGCCTGCGCAGTCTTTTACTTTCGTAGGGAGTGATTTCTGTGTGCAGATTTGGGACCATTCCTTCCAGGATTTTCCAAGTGTAGATTATGATATATCTCTCCCTCCTGCGTTGCTATGATAATATAATCAAGTGCTATGACACGGGCATGGATACTATGATAACGTGGCCATAGGTGTTATAACACTAATAACATAGTCACGATAATACGGGTACAATAACTACCCTTAAAGCATCGTGACTAACACATACCGCTAATAACAGTGCCACAATAACACTGTTAGAGCCCATATGAAGGTGATTAGAAAGCCTACGCCAGTAAGACTGATGACTGACCCCCCCTAAGGTTTTTTCGATGATTGCTAATTGTTATATTATTAGAACCTAATCTGGCTATTACAGAAGCTCAAAGATAGTGCCATCACACAAGAAATGTGTGATTTTCCCTATGTCTGAACTGCTGAATGTGAATACGAGGTCCAGCCTTGCTGGTTCATCGTCTAGTCTTACTCTGGCCTAGAACGCAACGCTGGAACTAGGAAAGAGTCACTGGTTAGCTTGTCTGCGTTCTCAGCGGGCGGACGGAGGGCAAAGCCTTCAGCGCTCCCTGCCTTGAATGACCCATACGGGTTTAACGCTTCCCACTAACTTTATTATTAGTGTATATGATGGACTTGGCTGAAAAGAATAACAGGTCAGAGACATGATAACACGGCTGTTGATGACAGTTTTCTGAAGTCGGCTTCTGATCCGGCAGGCTGTGGTGTGTACGATCGGATGCGTGCAGCTACCACCAACAGCTTCGTTGATCGAGCTATCATCCAAAAGGCCAGCTCTAACAAATCGAACACAAAGAGTAGTGGTCAACAGAGTTAAATCGGAGGCTGCCATAGTGAAGAGCTCTGTTCCACAAGGCACAGTACTCGCCCCCATCTTATTCCTTATCCTCATATCAGACATAAACAGAGATATACACCACAGCACCGTATCATCCTTTGCGGATGATACTAGGATCTGCATGAGGCTGTCATCTGCTGAGGACGCGGTTAACCTCCAAGAAGATATAAACAAAGTTTTCCAGTGGGCAACGGTAAACAATATGATGTTCAATGAGGACAAATTCCAACTACTCCGTTATGGAAAACTGGAGGAGATAATAACTAGAACAGAGTATACTACTGACTCCGGCCATACAATAGAGCGGAAAAATAATGTAAGGGACCTGGGAGTAGTAATGTCTGAGGATCTCACTTTCAAGGATCACAACAGTGCCAGGATCGCACGTGCAAAGAAAATGATAGGATGGATAATGAGAACTTTCAAAACGAGAGATGCCAAGCCCATGATGATCCTTTTCAAATCACTTGTTCTCTCTAGGCTGGAATACTGCTGTACATTAACATCTCCATACAAAGCAGGTGAAATCGCAGATCTAGAGAGTGTACAGAGATCCTTTACTGCACGTATAAGTTCTGTCAAGCACCTTAACTACTGGGAACGCTTGGAAGCACTTGACTTGTACTCGTTGGAACGCAGGAGGGAGAGATATATCATAATCTACACTTGGAAAATCTTGGAAGGAATGGTCCCAAATCTGCACACAGAAATCACTCCCTACGAAAGTAAAAGACTGGGCAGGCGATGCAAAATGCCCCCAATAAAAAGTAGGGGCGCCATTGGTACACTAAGGGAAAACACCATAAGTGTCCGGGGCCCAAGACTGTTCAACAGCCTCCCATCAAGCATTAGGGGAATTACCAATAAACCCCTGGCTGCCTTCAAGAGAGAGCTGGACAGATACCTAAAGTCGGTGCCGGATCAGCCGGGCTGTGGCTCGTACGTCGGACTGCGTGCGGCCAGCAGTAACAGCCTAGTTGATCAGGCCCTGATCCATCGGGAGGCCTGGTCGTGGACCGGGCGGCGGGGGCGTTGATCCCCGGAATAACCTCCAGGTAACCTCCAGGTAGGACCGAGCTGGAGGGCAGTGACTACATATAGGTTACAGATACATAATGACTAGAAAAAAATATTATTATTGTTATTATATATGGAGAACTACACCTACGAAATGGGAAGAGTAATTCCAATTGTTTGGATCACAAGCTCTTCACCGGCATGAACGCTCCCGCTTGAAGGAAAGATAATTGGTGAGAGGGAAACTAAGATGGATAGAAAATTACTATTAAAATGGGTGGAAGGAAATGGCATTTCTTGTCAGACGTCTCTTCTGGTGGTGCTCAGAAAGTTCCCTCCTTGAGATGACAAACTTTCAACGTCTTCCCTCCCCAAAAGCACCTTCTTTAACCCCCACCCACCACCCCTCGTCCCCTCCTTTCCCTCCCACCCATGCCATTTCCCATCTTTATCCCCTCTTTTGTGCATGTTCATTCACTTTCACTCTTTTGTTTCCCACTCTTCCGGTTTTTCCCCTCTCCTTTCAGTGTCACTTTCCCCTTTATTTTTCCTATCATTTGTCTTCAACCTCCCCTTCACTCTTCCCTTTGCTTAACTCTTACCATTCACTCTTCCCTTTCTTCGTTCTCTCAATTCTTCCTGTTTCCTCCAATATTCCTCTTTCCTAAATTCTTCTTCTCTTCTTCATTCATCCCTCCCTTCTACCTCCCCCACTCTCCTCAACGTCTTCACCTGCTCCATTTATATTTTAAAATACTGTATAAAACAGTTTATAACCCTCGTTTGCATTGTTGAATAAACTAAAGAAAAGTAAACAAAGCGTAATAATGTGGGCTGGCACCTCAGACTCTGGGAGAGTGAGGAGCACACGTTACTAATAATAAACTGAAAGTTGACACTATCTTGAAGGGACTAATAATGTGGAATAACACTGACTGGAGCTGGTGCCCCACTGAGATGGTTACCGGAGATGGCAGAGGATGCCGAGTGAAAGGTGCTCCGGGGTTCCATTCAACATGTAAGCCAGTGGCTTCAGTAAGAGGTCATGGTTTCAACATTTTTAATGGCAGAGATACGGTGCGCAGACGCGTGTCCCACACGGTGGTCTGCCAGTTCAAGTACCGGTGCTCACCCAGTAATTAGTGCGTCACACTAACCTGGCCACTTCCAAATTTAAGGAGTCTTTCTACTAGTTAATTATATAACACATAAAACATGTTATATATTTAACTGGTAGATTCTCCTTAAATTAATACAATAAGTTCAAAAGTTGCAAATCAACATGTTATTTAGTATTAAATTTAACATCAAATATAATTTTTTAAGATTAAACGCGGAAACAGGATGGTGAGGGTATGTAATGGATGTTTCAGTGGGTCAACATTCTCAGACCAGGCTGTTCAACAGCCTCCCACCAGCAATAAGGGGCATTACGGGAAGACCTCTGGTTGTCTTCAAGAGGGAGCTGGACAGATTCCTAAAGACGGTGCCGGATCAGCCGGGCTGTGGTTCGTACGTTGGATTGCGTGCGGCCAGCAGTAACAGCCTCGTTGATCAGGCCCTGATCCACCGGGAGGCCTGGTCGTGGACCGGGCCGCGGGGGCGTTGATCCCCGGAATGCCCTCCAGGTAGACTAAAGGTAGGTAGGCCTCCTCCTGATGGATTACGCCTAATTCAACCAATCTGCTACTGCTGGCCGCCAGCAATCCAACGTACGAACCACAGCCCGGCTGATCCGACGCTGATTTGAGGAACTGGTCCAGTTCCCCCTTGAAGGTAGCCAGTTGATCAGGCCCTGATCTGTGGTTTGTACGCTGAACTGCGTGCGGCCAGCGGCAACACCGACCCCCCCCCCCCAACCCCCGGAAAATTCTTTCATAATAGAAAAATATTTTGATCGGCCGGAGCGTCAGATCTACGTCGAAATGTGAGTTGCAAGCACCAACAGTCTGACTGCTCAGGAATTCCTCAACCTTCTTACATTTCCTCTGCCCACAGCTCACTCTTACTTTAACATTCAGTATATTTTTTTAACCCCCCCCCCTCCTCAGTGCTCACTGCATCTTCTATCCTCAAAATCTCCTCCCCTCACTTGTCTCCCCTGTCATTTCCCCCGGCTTTCCTTTTTTTCCCCCTTTCCTTCAACTTTTCACTCTTTTCTCGCTTCCTTTTCCTCCCCTTCCTCTCACTTTTCCTCCCCTTCCTCTTACTTTTCCTCTTCTTCCTCACTTCTCCTCCCTTCCCCTCCCTACCCCCCCTCACTCAGTTCAGGAAGGCCCCAGCCAATAGGAGCTTAATTATCTATCCATTTACTTAGTCGGCTCTGAGAGCTCTACCAAAAATGGCGAGCGTGTGTCGTCCGAGTTGGAGAGATATGTGGGGCCAGCGGGCCGCCAACAGCAACAGCCTCACTGACCAGGCTGGCCTAAGACCAGGTTCCGAAAGAAGAAAAGCTCTCAAAACCCGTCAAGGATACATGAAAGGTATGAAGCCTGTCTACTACATATTACCGTCACTTATGCCAACATTAATTTTCACACAATCAGGGAACACTGTATCAACGTCCGTGGCCACAAACTAATCAACATCTCACCAG